GGGGGGGGGGGGGGGGGGGGAGGATTCACGAGAGTATTTTCTCTACTTCTGTTAAATGTCTAAAATTTTCCACAATTAAAAAAAAATATATATGGGCTGGCTGGTTAGCTCAGTTGATTAGAGCATGGTCCTATCTCTTTGGTCTTGGTGGCAGAAGCGAGATGACGAAGGGAATGTCATCGTCTGGAAAATGTCAAAATAAAATGCACACGTTGTACCACCGCTGTGGCTTTAAGGCTTATCATCCTCAGAAGTCAACCTGTGGCAAATGTGGCTACCCTGCCAAGTGCAAGAGAAAATATAACTGGAGTGCCAAGGCTAAAAGATGAAATACCACTGAGACTGGTCGAATGAGGCACCTAAAAATTGTATACAGCAGGTTCAGGCATGGATTCCAAGAAGGAACAACACCTACACTCAAGAGAGCAGCTGTTGCAGCACCCAGTTCATCTTAAGAATATCAAAGATTTGTCATGCAATAAATGTTCTGGTTTTAAAAAATAAAAATAAAAATAAATTTTTAAAAAGAGCATGGTCCTGATAATATCAAGGTCAACAGTTTGATCCCTGTACCAGCCAGCCTCCAAAAAATAAAAAAGAAAAAAGTATGATAAAAAAGACTGGGGAAAAAACCCATGATATTAACATATTTGGGGAAAAGAACTATGAATGATTTTTCTTTTCCATTCTGCTTTTTGTATTTTTCACATTTTCTATGAGTATTGCCTTTATTTTTCTTTTAAAAAAAGATGACCGGTAAGGGGATCTTAACCCTTGATTTGGCGTTGTTAGCACCACGCTCTCCCAAGCAAGCTAACCAGCCATCCCTATATAGGGATCCAAACCCATGGCGGTGGTGTTATCAGCACCACACTCTCCCAAGTGAGCCATGGGCTAGCCCTTATAAGTATTGCCTTTTTAATGGAATACATAAAATAAACCACAGTATTTAAAGAAATGCACATATTCCTTGTATACTAATCTTGGACTCTGGATATTACCTAACTTCTCCAAATAGGCAGACCAAGAGTACCCATAAAGGGGGTCAAAACACCATGACAAAAGCATATCCCATCTGTTTATCAATTAACTACTGTTTCACACACTTTTAGAAAGGCCACTTTGTAAGGACAACTATGGTCTTTAAATATAAACTAGCCAAAAGCACAAACTCACATAAGCTCAAAACAGATTAGAGACTACTTAAGCAAAAATAACCAGTGACACATTCCTCTTCAGAGTTAGGCAGAGTTTGGGTTAAAGACCCTGAATGTGTAATGGTCAGATAGGACACAAGATAGGGATCTACCTCCTCAGCCTTTGGAGCTGCCAGGTAGGGACTTCAGACCAACAGCTCCCAGGCAAACTGCCTTCCGTGGGCCGCCTCCAGTTTTCCCCAGTGATACAATTATTTACCATGTGCCATGATATAAAAAAAGTTTGGGGAGTACTAGTTTAAGCTAGATCTGAGTTGATCATTACTCAAAAGCTAAATAGAAGTATAACGAAAGTCAACACACAGTACAAGGGAATCTTCTAAAAATGCTGGTTATGGAAAAAAGAAGTAACACTCATGTTATAGGTCTACACCATTGCTAATATTTTCTTTCTATCTGCACCCCTTCCCACATCCCACTTAGGAAATCTTAAGGTATATTCCAACAAAACTCAATGAAGTAACCTCAAATATAAATGTTAGCTCAGGGCCAAGCCCGTGGCGCACTCGGGAGAGTGAGGCGCTGAGAGTGCAGCAGCGCTCCCACCGAGGGTTCGGATCCTATATAGGGATGACTGGTGTGCTCACAGCACTCACTGGCTGAGCACAGGGCGGCCGGTCTCAAAAAAGGACAAAATAAATAAATAAATAAATAAATAAATAAATAAATGTTAGCTCAGTGGCACAAAGTTAAATTCTGGAGACAAGAGCAGAATCTGATTCTCTGTGCCAATGCTAAATGTATTTAAGATAAATCTAAAATAAATCCCACTTGTTAAAGTTGAAAGAGAAATACTTTAGGGTCCGTAGATTAGAAGCTTAGAGCTGTAAAGATCTTTTAAAAGACAAAAAACTGTAACCCAAATTATTTCTTAACTTTACAGTGGCTGAACTGGGACTAGATATCCAGGCTCCCAAAGACTGCACTTTCCAGGCCACCTCCAGAGAGTTCCTGCTAATTGCTTCTTTTAATCTCTCTAAAAACCATAAAACAATGTCTAAGTACTTCCTGCTCTTCAAGGAAACGGAATCTCTGGTTAATCTACAACTACCAAATCAGTTTGAGGAGCCTCAATGTAACTTTACGCCACTAATTAACCTTAAATTTGTAATACTTAAACACAAGTTCCTTTATTAGTCAGCCTTTATTTATATTTGTGAAATACTAAGGTAGCCTTTTTGCTCTTGCATAGATGAGGAAATATCCTTAAAAACAAACTATCAAATTCTTTATATGGTTATTTTGTGGGCACATATGGTGATATATCAAAATCTATGTAAATATGCTATGTTTGAACAGAGCTGTACTGTGTAACAATGAAATGAAGACTAATAAAATTTCCTTCCTTGTACTTAGAAAAAAGTTCAGACAAGTGGAGTCCTCAACTAGAATGAGAATGTGAGATTGGTGCGGAAGTGGAAAAATGAACTGCCGAAAATAGTATCAACTGAAAGAGGAAAAGGGAAGAATCCATATAGAGATAAAACAACAAAAGATATGATATTTGCATGAATTCTTTATACCCTGAGAGCAATTCTACCTTAAATTACCAAGTGCCCAGTAGACTCATAGGAGAAACAGTAAAGGACTTGTAACTTCTGTACTCACATTGGCTAAAACTGTACTGTACTTGTACCAAACAAAAAACTATGAGTTCTTTAAACTTCTCTTACAAAGTTTCAACAAGAAAAACCTAACAATTCCTTCTCCAGAAAGAAGTGACATCTGCCTTGGGTAACGTGAAACCCAAGAACACAAGATGTGTCACTAGCAATGATGTCTGAATTGGTTCTTCATTTTGTTTTCTGCCACAAATTCTGCAAGAACAGGTGTAGTTTCTCGAATGCCATAAGGAAAGGTTAAGGTAGAAACAGGTTCTCCCAGCCCCCACACAAAACCATAAAAGTCCTATACCCAAAACAAGTTTATAATTAATACAATGATACAAATTTAAGTCCTGATGTCCAAATTTCAGGGTCCTTGGAAAAAGGGGCTTCATGTACCCAAGTAATATGTGATGTGCAAACTATTCAGTGAAATTAGACCCGGGGTCTGCAGCACATTTGTAAAAGGTAATACTGTAATTCTTTCAGTGTGAAATTTCTCAACTTTTATAGATTTATGCCCTACACGTGAATTTGCAGGGAAAAAAAAAAAAAAAAAACAGAAGGAGAAACAGAGGTTGTTTCCCAATCTCCCTTGGAATTCTCTGCATTTATATCCGTATCACCTGCCTTATTACAGAAATATACAGAAGCCTTCTTTCCCACTCTTTACGAATATATTTACCCCTACCTTCATTCTTTGGACCCTATACTGACAGAAATAAGACAATTCAAAATGTTTAGACACACCTAACACACGCTCATGATGCACTTCCGCCATCTAACAAATATTTGTGAGTTTACTATGTGCCAGGTGTGGAGATTAAAAAAACAAATAAACGAGTCCTCAAGAGACAACAGCATTTGCCAAAGATACATCTTGACCTGCACAACTCATAAATTCAAAAGACAATACAATGCAGGTGAAAAAAGACCACTGAATGTTCCCATGAATGGGGCATGACCTCATTACTGACTACCTAGACTGCAGCAGCCTAGCTGATTTCTCAGCTACCAAGCCCTTTCCTTCTCAATCTGTCTTGCATTCAACTGCTAGATTCATTTCAAGAATTCCACTTTCAAGAGATCTCTGCTCTACTCAAGAAGCTTCAAAGGCTCTCCACTACTTATCGTTTCTAATTCAAACTCTTCCTCAACTTAAAGTCTTCTATAGGCTAGCTCCATCTGTTCAACTTTGTTCTATGCTCACCACGGCTCGGCTCCCTTCTGCCAATCCCTTTTGGAGGAGTAGGACCCAAACCTAATTCAACTACCTCCTCTCTTACTCCTTAGGCAACCTTCATTCTAAGCAGTCTTAAAAATTTGTTCCCTCTATCATCAGTACAGATCTCTTAGTTTTCAGAACTCTGCATTAGCTTTCTTCTTAACAAATGGCAGGTGTATCCCAAGCTATTTTTAACATTACCATCCCAAACAGATGTTCATCGTTCCAGCTACCCCTTAGTGCAATCAGAGGGAAGTCGCCTGCAGTTCGGACATGGGCGTCCCAACATCGCATCTTGTGGGCAGGGTTTGGGGCGGTTACAAACCATGGAGGAGAAAAATCAAGGAGGCAAAAGGAAGAAGAGGTCTGTGCTAGGTACTCAGTCTTTTCTTTGGGAAGTGTAAGGAGAGTAGGGGGGAGGAGACCCCAAGAAATGAATTCTTGAGGAAGGACAGAAGAAACCTGTAGTGCTCCCTAGGTGGGAAATATGGGCCCTTGTATAATGGAAAGGGCCGTCGTCTTTGGGAAAGAACAGGTTACAACATGAAACAAAGGGGCTGGGGGTGGAAGGTGAGGGGTGGAGAGGAGAGAGATCCGGGCATCTCCGGAGGTCGAGTGGTAAGGAAACGCGAGGGGACACGACACTTCCCTAAGAGGACTGGCCGAACACCGGGGATGCGGTTGCTAAGAGGGACGAGGTAGGTGTCTAGGAAGGCTCTGGGGCGAGCGCTTATGGGGTATCTCTTCTAACAAGGCGCGAGGGCGTTTTCGAGTGGGATCGTGTTTGGGGAGAAACGCTTCCCAGGGCATAACTCTCCGAGAACGGAAATCTTGGAGAAGAGAAAAAGTTAAAGCGCTGAGGTTCCGAGTCCCGGCCGGGCTTCCCTACTTACTCACCGCGTCTCCTCCGAACGCTACCGCTCCAGTTGCAGTTACGGATCGGCGCAACCGCACTGAGCGCGCAGCGCCCCTACGTGATCGCCCGGGCCCCGCCCTCTCACGTGATCCGCAGAGCCCACCCATTCCCGCCTCCCGCTGGTCGCTCTTCTCCACGTGGTCTTGGCTCGCCCCTCCCATCTCGGCAAGATGGCAGCGGCCGGCTGCAGTGCTCCGGGCCTCTGGGTCCGGGGTACCGGGCAGCGTTTGGGGAGTCTCTTCACTCTCGTTTCAAAGCCATTTTGTTCCGCCGCTGCTGCCTCTAGGCCCCTGGATGCCCTGCGACTAGCGGAGAGGCTCCGAGCCCAGAAACGGGAACAAAAGACCAAGATCGTGTCGGTGAGTCTTGGAGGAACATAACTTCAAGAGGCATTGTTTTCCTTGGCGGGCAGTGAGGTAGGAGGTGCTCTGGTGGCAAGTAGGTAAAATGTCGGGCACATATGGTGGGAGAATGGAAAGAAAGCGGAGGGGAGAGATCAGTAGGGGTACGGAGTCTTCCAGTGGTCTGGGTCTTTAGCTTCTGCGGGGCTCGGTCCAAACCACCGTACCGCTACTCCCAGATTGCTCGAGGAAGGCGCGAATCGATTGCAGAGATACAGTCATTCCCTACCCCAATTCTCAGCTAGACCTTATTGAAGGGTTCTTCACAGCTTCCCCCACCGCTTTTTCACCAGGCCTTTCCCACCGCTCCTTCTCTCCCCGTAGGTACCCACAAACCCTGTTCAGCGGAGGGTGCAAGAATTAGTGCGGTTCACACAGCAGCTGCAGCGAGTCCACCCCAACGTGCTTGCTAAGGCATTGAGCCGAGGGATTCTCCACCAGGACAAGGACCTTGTGGTCATCGATAAGCCCTACGGTCTCCCCGTACATGGTAAGGACCAGGTGGCAAAGGGAGAGGAATCTGCTGCTGCTTTCTGCTACACCTAGGGACGACTCTGACATTACTTGTAGGGCACTCCGAAGCCTTGACTTCAAATTGATTAAACCGTTGTAGAGTATTATCCTATATAAGGCACTACTGAGGACACAGATGAATAATACAGTGTCCACCTTCCCAACATCTGACAGATAGCAGTGATTCACTGAATGCTCTATGTGCAGACTCCCACTGAGATTGCTATAGAGAAATACAGAGGCAGTGTGGTTCTTGTATTCAGGTTATTTCCTTTCAAAACTGGGAAATAGGAAAATAATACGCAAGAAAAAAAGGAGGGTGTTGGAGTATATCTAACAAACCTCACAGTGCCTGGAACTTAACGGACACTCATATGTCTTTGAATAATTGTTGAATGTAGTTGTTAGAACAGCTGAGGTTGAGTCAAGAAAGACTGATAGGAAAAATACTTTTGAGAAAGAATTTTGCAGAGGTAAATGCATATTTTAGTTAGAAGGTAGTTGTATTGGTCCGTTTCCGTTGCTTATAACAGAATGACCTGCAATTGGGTGATTTATAAGAAAATGGAATTTACTGCTTACAGTTTGTGAGGCTCGGAAGTCCAAAGTCCAGGGAACACATCTGGTGAGAGCCTTGGTGGTGGCGACAGCGACGGCAGGGTATCACATTGTGAATGGAGCAGAGAGAGAGCAAGAGACAGAAGTGTGGTACAGGCTAGAATTAAGAACCACTATCCCATCAACTCTCAATATTCTAAGTTCCAAAGCTTTTAAAGTCCTCAGAACCATGCCCCTGACCACCATTTTTAATCCATTCACTACTGCATGGTCCTACAATCTAATAACCTCTTCAGGGCTCCACCTTTCAATTACCATAATAGGATTTCCCACCGTCTCAACAGTCACAGTGGGGGCCAAGTTTCTAATACATAAAGCCTGGGGGACACAATTCAAGCATTGATGAGTTTTGGGGGGACATAATTCAGTCCACCATAGTAGTGCTTTTGGGGGATTATGGAGAAGTTTGTGCATAAAGACCAGAAATTAAATCAGACATCAGCAGGTGCTTTATATGATTTTTTTCTCTTGATTCTCACAACAGCTACTTGCCTTCCCATTCCCCAGTGAAATTATTTTCCAGATATTTATATTTTATAGATGAGAAAACAAAGTAGGAAAGGTAAGTAATCTTTCCATTGTCAAATGGCTAGTTAGGACAGTACATAGAATTTAACCCAGGAATGTCTAACCCCAGAGCCCAGCCTGTTAACCACTTTCTGTAATGCCTCAGGAGGACCTTGTGGTCTTGCAAAGTATGTCTGAGGAGAAAGCCACATGCTTTAGGACAATGCTTCTCAAAATTTAATATGTTTATAAATCACTTGGACAGCTTGTTTAAATGCATATTCTGACTTAGGTTGAGGGCCTGAGATTAATTTCTAGCAGGCTCTGTGTGCATACCTAGGTTACTAGTCCCTGGTCCACACTTAGTAGTAAGGCTTTAGAAAATATTGACAGTTTATCCAGTAAGGGATTTTTTTTTCCCCAAGAAGAGTTCTTTGGTGAGATCTTTTCCTGGCCACTTAGACCTCTGGCTTTTCCTTTCATAGGTGGCCCTGGAGTCCAGCTCTGCATCAGTGATGTACTTCCTATCCTGGCAAAGATACTTCATGGTCACAAGGCAGAGCCCTTGCATCTGTGCCACCGGCTGGACAAGGAGACCACAGGCGTAATGGTGTTGGCTTGGGAGAAGGAAGTGGCACATCAAGTCCAAGAATTGTTTAGAACCCGTCAGGTGTCAAAGAAGTACTGGTATGAGGCCCATGCAGTAGAGGGGGTGTAATGGAGGCATCTGTTTCCTCTATTCATCTGTCACACAGCAGAGCTCCTGTTAATGGAAGGCACTGCACTGGGATCCGTGAGGATATAAAGAGGATATGAAACAGCTTTGGTGCTTAGAATATTGACAGTTGATAGGATAGTGACTCTTAATTCTGGCTGTACAACAAAATTATCAAAAATGAATTGTACAAGTAATATACGGTTTCATTCCTGTGCTAAAGTAGCCGAACAGCAAAGATAAAGCAAAAAACTCCTGGAGAATCCACCCACTCTGCCATTTTAGTCCCTTCCCTTAAGGCAGCAACCACTGGAATCAGTTTTGTTGTTACTTCTCTGGTCCTCACTCAGTGCATTTACATGTGTGTCTAGTATATATAGTATGTGTGTATCTACACACCCACACGTATTTATATATATCTTATTGTACAACTTACATTGTACTTTTTTCCGCACTTAACTCTATGTCTTGGTGATGTTTCTATGTTAGTGTATATAGGTCTACCTCAGTTTTTTAATAGAAAAAGGATACACCAACATATAAGAAACTCCCCATCTACTCAATACCCTTCCCCAGAGGCAGTCACTATTACCAATGTCTTGTGTAAATTTCCAGTTATACTGGGCATATATAAGCATATCATTGTATGGCAACATATTTTACACACTGCTTTGCATGCTGCTGTTTGCACTTGGATGGTGTGTATCTTGGAGAGCATTTTGCATTGTACATTTAGAGCTGTCTCCTTTTTAATAGCTCTGTGGTATTCCACTTTGTGGACGGATATGTAGGTAATTTCTCATTTTTCACAACCTATTGCAAAGAATATGTGAATATATCTTTAGGATAAATTCCTAGAAATGGAATTGTAGGGTTGAAGGATGTGCATGTTTAAAATTTTAATAGTGCCCACATTGCTCTCCAAAAAGATTATGTCAGTTTATACTCCCACCAGTAGTAGTGAGTACCCACCTGCCCTTCAGCTGACCAAAGCATTTTTAAAAGGTTTGCCACTCTGGGTAAAAAAAAATATTTTCTATTTCCCTGTGTAACAGTGATACTGGGTGTCTTTTTTCGTATTTGTTGGATGTTTGGGTTTCCCTTTCTAGAAGTAGACTATTTCTTTTGCCTATTTTTTCCTTGGGTTGTTTATTTTCTATTTGATTTGTAAGTATTCTTTTTATATTTTGGATGTTAGTCCTTTTTGTATTACAGATTTTGCATATACTTTGTCATCTGGGGAACCCTTTAAAAATCTGTATGCTTAATATACCCACAGGTATTGTGATTCATAAGTCTGGAGTGTATGGGGATTGGCATCTATATTTTTTAAAAGTTCCACAAATGCCTCTGATGTACAATCAAGTTTAAGAACTATAATAAGAATCTATGGATAATGGAGGAATTTAATATAGTAGTTAAGAGCTCAAAAAGATCTGTGTCCCACTCTTAGCTGTGTCATTTACCAGCTGTGGGAACTTGGGCAAGTTATTAAGCTTCTAAGCTTTGTTTTCTTTATATAAAAAATGGGAATAATTGGATTGGATTGATGAGATAGCTAAATGAGATAATGCATGTGAAGTGTTTAACACAGTTCCCAGCTCATAGTAAGAACACAGAAAATAGAGATATATATACAAGTAATCAAAATATAAGGCTAAAAAATATGTTATACTATTTGTGAAAATTGTCCGTGAAGGTTCAAAATTGGTAACCATTCTTGGTGTCAGTCTTCATGAAGGAGTTAAAATCAATTAATTGGGTCTTGATGAATGAATAGGGTTTAATAGGAAAGATGGAGAAATGTCTTCTAGATTGTGGGAGTGGCATACACAAAGGAGTTAGGCTTGCAGTCCTGTTTGGAGTGGGGATGGTAGGAGATAATGCTGGAAGGGTAGTCTGGAACCCAGTTAATGAGGGTTTTAAATATTGAGTGCAGGAAGTAGAAGTTGAAAGTAGAACATAGTAGGCAAATGATTAGCATTGCTGACTTATTATGATAGCAGACTTATTATAATTACATGTCTGAATCTTCTTGCTAACGTTTGAATTCCTTGAGAGCAGGGATTTTTTTTTGGCAGCTGCTAGAGCAGGGATTTTTGTCTTGTTCATCTACATAGAGTTAATACCTACCTAAATCAGTGCCTTACCCATTCAAGAATATTCACTGATTGAGCATTGTTTGAATTCCTTGAGAGCAGGGATTTTTTTTTGGCAGCTGCTAGAGCAGGGATTTTTGTCTTGTTCATCTACGTAGAGTTAATACCTACCTAAATCAGTGCCTTACCCATTCAAGAATATTCACTGATTGAGCATTTTTGAGTGGTAGTGTATGTCATTAGGAAGAGTAATCTAGTAGTCACATAAGTTGTATCAGATAGCAGTCCAAACTGCCACCAACCTGAAGCGGGGTGTCCAGGGTTTGAAATAGTGTGTCCAAGTGGGCTTTTGACCCCTCGGTCAGTGCTTCTGCCATAGGCCACCAGGTATTCAGGAGGACTCCTTTGTGTCTGACCTAAAAGAGACATAAATTTAAGGATGGGTTAAAAACAGTTTTCTACCTGCCTGGGATGTGATGAGAGGGAGACCACTAACAAAAGTGACTTGGAACGAGTTGTTGAATTGTGGTTGTGGTTTCTGTGACTTCTTTGGGCACAGTTTCTAACTGTTTGACCTACGTGGCAAGTAGGGCAGGAGTGGCCCTGTGAGTTTTCAGTAGGTTCATTTATTCATTTATTCATTTGTTCATTTAGTATGCCATCAGAACCTACCATCTTCTATTTTAAAAAGAAAAACAAGGTACAAAACTATATTTTCCTAACTTTATCTTAACTGTATATATCCAGTTTTAAAGGCTGGAATGAAAGACTATGTTATGAATATAATTTTTTTTGTCTTCTGCCGTCCCCAAATATTGTACAATTAGCATGCATGACCTTAGTAGTAAAAAAAGATATGCTTGCAATTAAGAAGTATCCAGCTCTCAGGCTAAGCACTATACCAAGAGAATCGTTTGGGACCCTCCGATCATAAGAAATGACTGCATTAGTACAGAAGGTCTAGTGTGAAATTCTCTAAGCGGCCAAATTCATGGAGCTCTTCTCTTGATTCTGTGGCTAAGGCAGTGATCTGCATGTCACCCTCAGGGCCATCACTGTGCGTGTCCCTGTGCCCTCAGCAGGAGTTGTGGATATCCCCATCATTGAGAAGGAGGTGCAAGGCCAGCAGCAACACCACAAGGTGGGTGAACTGCCTCCCCGAGACATGGGTTTCTGCTTTTCCTTGGAAATCATATCCTGATCTCTTTGACTTCAGATGACGCTGTCCCCAAGCTACCGCATGGACAATGGGAAAATGGTGAAAAGACGGACCAGCCGGAATGCACACCTCGCTGTAACTCAGTACCAGGTGCTAAGCAGCACTCTGTCCTCTGCCCTTGTGGAGCTCCAGCCTGTTACTGGTGAGCATGCCACTACACTGCAGTGGGATGGCAAAACCCTGTGCTTCCAAGCTTTGCCCCTGCTGGGTTCTGCCTTCATTCTGAGCAGCTGGCACTGTGGGTAGGCTGAGGTTGCAGCTGACTTGTGTGAGACTGTGCTTCTGATACTAATCTGAGGCCAGAGCTCCCATAGGAATAATTGTAGGTAGCAGAAGAATACAAAGTTTAAATATCTTTATTTAAAAATGTGTATCCTCCTTTTATAATGATGAGTTAAAAAAAAGAAAATGTATGTCCTCCTTTTTATAGTGGTGAGTTAAAAAAAGAAAAAAGGAAAAAAAATGTGCCAAGTGGTTCCTCAAAGAATTAAACGTAGAATTACCGTATGATCTAGGAAGTCCGCTTCTGGATATATACCTTAAAGCACTGAAAGCAGAGACTCAAACACATGCTTGTACACTCATGTTCATAGCAGTATGACTCACAGTAGCCAAAAAGTGGAGACAATCCAAATGTTTATTGATGGGTGAATAGAGAGGCAAGATGTTGTATATAATGTACAATAGAATATTATTTTTAGCCTTAAAAGAATTTTAAAGGAAAGGAAATTCTGACACATGGTCCAACATGTATGAACCTTGAAGACATTATGCTCAGTGAAATAAGCCAGACACAAAAGGACAAATACTGTATGATTCTACTTATGTGAGGTACCTAAAATAATGAAATTCATAGAGACAGAAAATAGAGTGCTGGTTGCCAAAAGCTTGGTGAGGGGCATGAAGGGAGCAGAGAGGAATAGAGTATTGTTTAGTGGGTACAGAATTTCAGTTTGTTAAGATGAGAAAGTTCTAGAGATGAATGGTGGTAATGGTTGCAAAACAGTGCCAACGTATTTAATGCCATGGAACTGTACACTTAAAAATGGTTAAAATGGGAAATTTTATGTATTTTTTACTACAATTTAAAAATGTGCAAAACGATATTTATCATTATATAGTAAAATTATTTTTACAAAGTTAGGGTAACGGTAGACAGTAAGTTCATGATGATGGTTATCTGGTGGAAAGAGGGAACTGTGATGGCAAGGGATATGTTGAGTATTTATAATATTTCTTAAGCTGGCTGGTGGTATATAGCTTATAGTTTGTCATGTTATTCTTTATACCTTATGGTAGACAGTAAGTTCATGATGATGGTTATCTGGTGGAAAGAGGGAACTGTGATGGCAAGGGATATGTTGAGTATTTATAATATTTATTTCTTAAGCTGGCTGGTGGTATATAGCTTATAGTTTGTCATGTTATTCTTTATACCTTACTGTAGTTGGGACTTTGCCAGTTTACTTTGCTTTGTTTTAGTATGATTTAAAGCAGATGCCAGCACTGGTATTGTTCCTGTAGCTCCTCTAAGTTCTCTCTCTCTGTCTCTCCTTTTTTAAGGAATAAAACATCAGCTTCGAGTTCACCTGTCTTTTGGGTTGGATTGTCCAGTCCTTGGTGATCACAAGTACTCAGACTGGAATAGATTGGCCCCACAGGTAATATTGGTTTGACCCGATGTGCAACAGAAAAAGAGAGAGAATGTACACTTTCCCTTGGTTAAAACCCTGGAGCGAATCTGCAAAGATGTGTTGATTGTCTTCAGATTTGGTACCATCCTGGTTATCTAGCTTTTAGAGAAATTCAGAAGCAGTTAGTTACTGTCTTCACAGAGCTGCAGGATCTATTAGCAAAACCTTACTGTTTCATTTGTTTAGTGTCGGGATTTGTTGGGAGGTTGTGGGCAAGGGGAGGAGTCTTTCTGAAGGCTGAAAGCGGCCTTTTGTGCTACTGCTGAAGAACCATGGTGGACTCTTTCATCGTTTGATGTTACAGCCCCTTTTCTTGGAATGCCAGAGTATTGGCCAATAGGAGCATCTTTTGTGTGGACATTTTTCTCCTACCTGGGTTCTGAACCCTTGCTAGATATGCCCCTGAGGCAGGCTGTCCATTACTGTGCCTTCTGAGGGGTTAGTGTTGGTTCCCTGTAAGTGGAAGTCTTCTGACCCTGCACGCTGGTCCAGGATGGACTGTTGGCCTTGCTCTCAAGGGTCTGTCTTTTCTTTGTATAGAAGCTGTCTGTTGGCATCCTAAAGAGGCTGGGGCTGCAACAGTCGAAGGCCCGCCACGTCCCCCTTCACCTGCATGCCCGGCAACTGGTCCTACCTGCCGTGGGGTCCAGGAAGGAGGAACTCAACTTGGTGTGCAAGCTTCCTCGCTTCTTTGTACACTCCCTGAGGCGTCTGGGTTTAGAGATGCCAGATCAGGATCAAAATGGGGGCAATGAAGCTGGGCCACTGGGAGCATAGTGAAGACTGTTGGGCAGTTTGGCCCCGAACTCTTCCCTTTGTTTAATGGACTCTGCTGGCTTCTCCCTTAGAACAGACTCCAGAAGAGCCAGGTGGGATAAGTTAAAGAGACTCAGCTACTTCAGAGATTTTCATGGAGAATAAAGTCGATGTACTGACAGTTTGGCCATGCTGTGGAAAAGCCTGCTGAAAGTCTCCTTGCCACAGGCTCTCCTTACTGAGAAGGAAGAGAGCCCGGGCCAGGCAGATTGGGGCAGATATGGTCACGAACTGTTTTCATCCAACAGCAAAGCTCTTGAGCTATCAGGAAGGTTCTCGTGGTTGGAAGGAACGTAATGGTTAAACACATGTATCAAGGAGGTGTCAGTGGCAGGCAGGTAACATAACTGAGGGAAACTGGCAAGGTATAAGGCAGTAGTGGGGATAGCAAGCCCAGGAGCACACAGACAGTCTGACAATTGTTTAGCTCCAGCTGGTCGTTTTCATGTGGAAATGAATTTTCTCACTTTTTTCAGAGAATCAGGAAACCCAGATATTTATATGAGTAAACATCTCCCAGTGTATTGCCAACTAAATCAAATTTTAAAAGACAGGCAACCAAACAAATAATATTTGCAAGTTGAATTTGGTCTGCAGATTACCAGTTTGTAATCTGTGTTTAATGAATGGTGTAGAAGTTTGGGGAAAGGTGCCATCTTGAAAGTTCTGGATTGATGGTTGGTATTTTAGCTGCATGTAGTATCTGTCCTTTCTAGGATAGGAAGTAGCTTTGGTTGATCCAAAAATGTGTGGTTATAAGGGTGCTGCTGTTCAAAGAAATCTTTGTTTTGGGGGCTGGCCAGTTAAAGCTCATTTGGGAGAGCATGGTGCTAACACCAAGGTCAATGGTTCAGATCTCCATACGTCCAGCTGCCAAAAAGCAAACAAAATCTTTGTTATGGAAGCACACCTCCTGTTCTGGGGTCTCAGGAAGGAGGTGGCTGTGCTGAACAGCACTAGGGGTGGAAATTACCTTGGTGTCCTGCTCAGTTGATCTATCTAGCTCCCATGTTGTTTCTTGGAAACAATACAATCTTGCAGACAAGTGCACTTCACACAACTTTGGGCTGAGTTGAAGAAAGTTGGAGTGACAGCACAATCAGGGATATGCCCCAGACAGCCTTTATGTGTTCCTTCTGTATTGATGACACAGCTTTCCAAACCCCTCCCCGGTTTCCATGATACCTATTACCACATAATAAGTTTAACTTTAAAAGCACAGATGAGATGACTATATTTGTTTATATAAGCAATCAGGGATATGCCCCAGACAGCCTTTATGTGTTCCTTCTGTATTGATGACACAGCTTTCCAAACCCCTCCCCGGTTTCCATGATACCTTTTACCACATAATAAGTTTAACTTTAAAAGCACAGATGAGATGACTATATTTGTTTATATAAGGCATAAATATTTTGGCTGTTATTTCAATTTCTAGTAAACCATGCTTAAGATGAAGGGACAAGAATGTGATGCTCAGGAAATACTGTTGTGTTGACTTTGATTCAGGGAGACAGATGAACAGAAATGCCCACAAGAATGGAGAACTGTGGAAGAGCAGATGATGGAAATAAAAGTTAAATTGGAAAATGTAGACAAGGAGCTAGTACAGTCAATCATGTGTGGCTTAACAACGGGGACATAGTCTGAGACATGGTTAGGCAGTTCCGCCTTTGTGTGTATGTCACAGAGCATACTTACCCAAACCTAAATGGTACAGCCTGCTACCCACCTCCGGCTTCATTATAATCTTAGGGGACCGCCATCATCTATGTGGTCTGTTGTTGGCCAAAAGATATGTGATGCATGCATGATTTTACAGCAGTACACTTGGGAAAGTGACGTATGATTTATGTCCTTATATTTCTTGGTCTCCTCTCTGATGCAAATCTACATTCTTTAATTTGGCAAACTGAATATTTGCTAGGTTGAAAGTATGTGAGGTGTTCAGTTACCTCAAGGAGATTCTTTTTAGCTGAGAAGCTTTGATTAGCTCATTTGTAAATATGTGACTTCCAATGAGTGTGAGGCAGGACAGTCATTCCCAAGGCTGGCGTGATGAGCTGGACTGAGAACTAGCTGTTCAGCTTCACCATGAAGGCTGCTCTGCCATTCTTTGTGATCTTTTTAGCTCTCCAGTGCTGGTTTCTTATTGGATGCTGAGCTGGGAGCTACCAAGCTAGTGACAGTTGGCCTTTTAAGAATTCCTAAGCTGTGCTGGGATACAGGGCCTCCACGTTGGAGACTAGGGCAGATGTCTGCTGTGCTGTGCCTTCCCAGACTTCTCTGAAGCCAATGTCAACATCCCCACACTCCCAAAAAGCCTGGCTTCAGTGTCGACTGAGTCGTGGGGGTACCCTAAGGACCAGGACAACGGCTCTAAAAGTCCTAGTTGGAGATCTTCAACTTTAGAGGTCAGGGGATCAGGGAGGCCATATGATTTTATTTGGCCAGAGTAAGCTAAAGTATTCTGGGATGTTGTTTCCAGCCATAATAAGTGTGGTTTTTTAAAAATAAGTGTTTGTATTTGAAATAACTTTTGTAAATATGAAATGTCTTTTTAAAAGTTAACAGACTGTTTAAACATACCATAAGAAACATCAAATATTAGGTGATGTAGTCCTCTTGTAATTAGTTGCCATCTATGCCTCAGTGGAGAGGAAACCACCCCTGCCCAGCTTCCCAAGCAGAGGGAGGGACCTGTGTCAAGAATCATGGCAGATTTGTCTGGGGCCAGAACTAGCAGTGTCGGGGCTCCTGGGGGTGATCTGCTGTGGGAACAGATGCTGCTCTGGATGTACAGGGAGGACACGGTGTAGGATCTGCTTTTCAAGCCAGGCCATTTGACACAGGACACTGGCAACAGAGGTGGGACCCAGCCCCTCTGGGATTGGAGCCAGGTAGCGTAGGGGCTGGGGGGACCCACTGGGTGCCAAACACTGCAGAAGTGAGCAAGACACTTCTTGTGTTAAAAAATGAGTGCTCTCAAGTTGCTCAGAGCAGGGGTCCACACACCTCTGAAAAGGACCAGATGGTAAATATTTCAGACTCTACTGGTCATACTGACTCTGTCATAACTACTCATCTCTGCCGTTGTAGCACAAAAGCAACCAGTGACAATATGTAAATAAACAAGCATAGCTGTGTTCTAATAACATTTTATTAATTGACTCTGGAATTTGAAATTCATGTAATTTTCACATATCACAAAGTGTATTAGTTTGTTCAGGCTGCCATAGCAAAATACCATAGACTAGGCAGCTTCAAGAACAAAAGAACTCTCGCAGTTCTGGAGGCTGGAAGTCCAAGAACAAGTTGTAGGCGATTTGGTTTCTCCTGATGCCTCTCTCCTTGGCTTGCAGATGGCTGTCCTCTCCCTGCAACCTCACATGACTTTTTCCTGTGCACGTGCATCCCTAGTATCTCTTCCTCTTATGTGGACACCAGTCAGATTGGATTAGGGCCCCACCCTTATGACCTCATTTAACCTTAATTACTCTGGATTAGGGCCCCACCCTTATGACCTCATTTAACCTTTTTTGGGGGGGAGGGGGTTCAGCATTGAGATATGTGGATCAAATCAATATTAGTAGCATATATATTGTTACAAATTGTAATTATTCTTTATGCCCCTTGTCCAATCCCTCCTCATCCCCCTTTCTCTCCCCCCTACCCCTCTAATCACCCTAGATTTCTTCTCTCCCTCTGAAGGAATGATGGTTACTCTGTTGATTTGCTGCCTAAATGATCTGTCCCATGCTGAGAGGCGTGATAAGGTCCCCCAATACTATCACAGAGCAGATGTCTCTTCCATCACTATGAAATGGGCTCTGCAGAGAGAGACCTCCTCCTTTCTTTATCTCTGCTGGTGACTCTCCTTGTGTCAACTCACTCCAGTGGCTGGCGGACCATCTGCGTGGTGGTTGTGGCATCTAGCCGCCTTCATGACAGCCATGGTTATCATGGTGGCTGTGGTGGGCCACCCACATGGAGGAGATGTTGTTGGCATGCTCTGTGGTGCTGGCAGTGTGCCTGGTTGTGGAGAGTGTCTGATCCCCAGTTCCATGCCCTGGGTCACCAAGTGGGTCCCAAGGCACTGGCATGGTGTGCCTGGTTGTGGGAGGGGGGTCTGGTCCCCTTCTCCATGCCTTGGGTCCCTGGGCAGGGCCCTGATGCACTATTCAGAGTGCCTGGTTTTGTTGAAGGGGTCCAGTCCCCAGCATCTTACCCCGGGTCCATAGGTGGGCCCTGAGGTGCTGGTACAGTGTGCCTGGGTGTGGGAGGGGGTTTTGGTTCCCTTCTCCATGCCCCAGGTCCCAGGGCAGGCCCCGAGGTGCTGGCACAAGGTGCCTGGTTGTGGGAGGGGAGGTCCAGTCCCTGGTTCCATACCCCAGGTCCCTGTGTGGGACCCGGGGCACTGGCACAGTGCCTGGTTGTGGGAAGGGGGTCCGGTCCCCAGCTCCATACCCTGGGTCACCTTGTGGGCCTCAGGGCACTGGTGTGGGGTGCCTGGTTGTGGGAGGGGGGTCGGGTCCCCAGCTCCATACCCCAGTTCCTCTTGTGGGCCCTGGGGCACTGGCACAGGGTGCCTGGTTGTAGGAGGGGGACCCGGTCCCTGGCTCCATTCTCGGGTCCTTGGGCGGACCCCAAGATACTGGTGTGTGCCTGGTTGTAGGAGAGAGGTCCGGTCCCCTTCTCCATGCCTTGGGCCCCCAGGTGGGGCCCTGAGGCAGTGTCATAGCATGCCTGTTGTGGGAAGGGGGTCAGGTTCCTGGCTGCTAGCATTGGGTCCCCGGCAGGTCCCTAGGCATTGGTGGTGTGCCAGTATGTGGAAGTAGAGTCCAGTCCTTGACTCCAATTGTCAGGTTCTGGGTGGGCCCCCGAGTTGCTGGCGGTGTGAGTGGTTGTGGGTAGGGGTCCTGCCCCTGGCTCCATGCCTCATGTCCCCTGGTGGGCCCCAAGGCATTCATGGTGTGCCTGGGCTAGAACTAAGTTTTCGCCCTTTGCTTGCTTCTAAAATGGGAACTTCCTGTGAGAACCAGTCCTTGAGCTGTGTGGTTGAGCTAAATTGCTCCTTTGCTGCTGTTTCCCTAGGGAAGAGTTTTTGTGCAGCTCAGGGTT